GATGATTGCACCCCCTGTTTACTTTTGCTACTAAGCCCATCTTTATTTTCATATTTTATTCGTTTTATTTATTTCTTTTAATCCTTTTTTTATCAATAAACAAATATAAAAATCACATAAAAATAGATTTACGATTTTTTCTTAATTAAATTTTAATTTTATGTAAAACTTTAATTTCTTTTTGTAAATAATTAAAACTAATTAGAATAAATAGGTTTTATTACTAACTTAATGGTATTTTATTTTTTTTTCTAAAATAACAAAAAGATCAAAAATAGATTTTGCAATTATTTTTATTAATTAATTCAATCACTAATTAATTTCCATATTAAATTTAGAAAAACTTAGTTCTTTTCTTTGAAAATATTAAAAACAACAAAAACATTTTTCTTTTGATTAAGAGGGTCAAAACCTTAAATTCTCGTCGATCTTAATTCTTCTCGCGCGCTTTATTTTTATTATTTACTATATTGATGTAACTGCCTACAATTTGTAATAGTTTAATTAGGACGTTTATTTACATTTATCGCTTTATTTTCAAAGGGTTTGTTTTTGGCTATATAAATACCCGAAGCCTTGTAATAGCGTAGTTTAAATTCCGCACTTTAAATTCCACAAATTATTAACTGTTAGATGTATGATAATAGGATGCATGACAAGAATGTATGATTAAATTTTAAACAGTTAGATCACCCTAAATGTGCAAAGATAAATAAACTGAAATTGAATCACTCGCATATGCGCACTCCTAGGGTACACTCCCACTTGGTTGCCTTCGATAAATGGTCATTGAGTATATGATGCTTTAGTGGTCGTCTTTTTGTCTAAACAAAGATCAAAGTCCCGATTCAGAAAAGTTGCCTCAGAATGGTTGCCTCAGAATTGTTGCCTCAAATAATTGATCTAAGACATTAGGGTTATTACTAAGACGTCCTAACATTGCTTTAGTGACCGTGCGTCCCTTTTGAATTGACCCTCAAAACTCCAACGACGGTGCTACCTACTCACTAATAGTGGGATAGTATTGTCTAAAGGAAATGAACATAGAACGATTCTTTTTTTGAGTAGGTAGATTAGCTCTTAAGTACTTTCTCAATCAAAACAATTTTTCACACTTACACTCCTTTACAAACAAGTTTTCAAAAACACTTCATTACACTCTTGAAGACAGAAGCAAGAGTTAAATTGAAGTTAAAACAAATTTTTTTCAAAGCCCACAAACACAAAGAAAACAATTTTGAAAATGATGAGCAAGTACCTAAGAGCCCATGGAAAACCATGGATAGAAAGGGTGCTAATACCCCCTTTCTATAATCTACCCCCCGTACTCAGAAATATCTCGAAAAAGGAATTTTTCTGTGTTTTTTTCCTTTCCTTGTTGGATAAAATAAAAGTCGGCGGCGACTCTTGCTTACCGCGACATTTTGCAAAAACAAACGCAAAACACAAACCAGCAAAATTTCCTTAACGAAATAGGGAAACCACGATCCTGGTTCTGGCCACTGTATTACAACTATTATCAGCAAGTTTTACCTTGCTCTTCTTCAATTTGTCAAAATCTGTCGACCAACCCTTTCGATCAGTCATATGGTTCAAGCAACCTGAACCAGATTTTGAATTCGACATAGTTATCTACATCTGCACACCTTTTTTATTTGCTTTGCCCTTTCGACAGTGTCCTCTTCGACCTGATACTTGAAAGCCCAATATGATCCATGTAAACTATATGGGGCATTAAAAATCCAATTGTACTTGTGCAAACTCAAACCCTAATTCTGAGGTATTAGTGCCGAGGAGGTGGCTTGACCTAGTCAATACTTGTGCAAACTTGAGCTTTTGAAAATCTTTGTAAGAAATATCTTGAGAAAAGATAGGGAAAATTTTGGGGTACAACACATGCCATATGGCTGTTTGTGACCATTCATTTGCATTGCAAATCCAGGTACATAGAGCCTAAAACTACTAGTCCCCACTGGTCTTGGGGTCACTAGTTGACCCTGTGTTCTTACAGGGGATAATATTGGTCCACTTTGAGTGTTCAACGGTATGGCTGTCGTACTCATCATAGAGGGCATTGCTTCAGTCACAATCATTGAGGCTGTATTTCCCTCTATCGGGTAAGGGGGTTGTTCTCCATTGTTACTTAGTAGATTTACCATCCTCCTAACATATTTCCTTTTTTGGTAATATTTTGTTGGTTCTGACTATCCTACCACTCCTTAATCTCATGCAACGAAGTTTGAGAAATTTATGTATGAAGAACTAAATGCAACAAAAATTTTCAAAATGACTAACCACAAGAGTCCCACTAGGTGTGCCAATTTGTTTACCTTGGATTTTGGTAAACAACCGCTAGCTTTCTAAAATTGATACTTTGGTTACTTACAGGATCAACTAGATTGATCCTAAAACATATGTGCCTAGTTTTGTTAAGTTTTCTTGATAATGATTACTTCGACACTACTAGAAACTTTAAAAGTAATACAAAGACAATTTATAAAAAGTGCAGGAATGTAAATTAATTTTGACTGAAACTTAAATGGAATCAAAATGACATTAATGTAAATAGTTTGACATTGAATGTAAATATGGTGATTCATACGTACATGTTATTTAAAAAACTTTTTCTCAACATACTTATATACTTTGAGTGATTTTGAGTTTTGTACAAATTGAATACACTGAATCCTGACGCTAAGACTTCTATTTATACTACTGTGACAGTAACAGTAACAAACCGTCTTTTCTCTAGAGAATGACATGTTCTTGCTTGCATGCATTTCGTGTTTCACAAGCCTCCACACGTCTTTTTAAGAAAATGGATAAAGCCAAAAAGCAGTTATCAACATTATTTCAAATTAACTCGTCAAACTCACTTTCAAGCCAAATTCCAAAATATTCTAAGTCCCAAACTGTTATCACCCTGAAGGCATATGACCTTTTTTACCAAATCCTGGTCGAAGTCTTCATCAATACTTCCTAGTCAAAGTCGACTAGATTTCTCCAAAAATACTTTCTTCATCTCTACTTGACATCCCAAATTCTCTTGATCGTCGAAATTCCAGCTAACAGTGTGTTCCAAGACAGGTAGTCTATTGACTGATCCTCCATCCTTAGTGTTGTCCATTTGAATACAAAATATCTTCCTTGAAGCTCACCTTAATAAAATAGGGTGTCTGCTCTGATGCCAATTGAAATTCTATTCTATAGGGACATGTGTTGGACCAGATATCTAAGCCAAAATGTCCAACTTCTTAAACCAGAATTTGACAAATAATATAAAACAAGATGATCAAACATAAAGCAATAAAGAACATAATAGAATTGGTAACCTAGTTCAGTGCAACCTCACATACTTTTGAGGGGCTTCAAACCCAAGAAAGGAAATTCATTTCTTAATGGTATTAGTACAATTATTCTTAGATGAACAACCCTTGTTCAATCTCTCTTTCAAATACTACTTGTGTCTTTCTATTTAGGACTACCCCTGAATATGAGAACTCCTCTCATTCTCTCTCAATCACTAACCATATTGATCAACACAATAAACATAATATTGAATGTTAAATTACAAATCAACTAACAAACCAAACTCTAAGCCTTAATGTATGAATGCATGCACTATAGAGGTGCACAAACAATAACACAAACAAAAGAGTTAGAATAACAACCCTAACACAAATATACTTCAATACTTGCACACTTTCAAACATTAGGTTTAAGTCTCCTTAACTAGCAATGTAATATAGACTTTTCTCCAACGGACATAAGATTTGCGCAAAAAAGCAGAGCGAATGGCTTTGAACATGCAATTGTCAGAAGATCTAAATGTGATTTGGAAAGTTGAGAATCAAAGTTGATCTTCTAATGAAGTAGATTGAAAATAGAGGATATGCGGTTCGATGTCAAGAAATCCAATTTGCTAGGTTGGGAAGTTTCATTTTGGTGAATCGAGAGATGAGTATTCAATCGTGGAAAACACGAGAATTAAATGTCGATTCCCACAGACGAAGCCATTATTTTGTTAGGGAACCAAAAATGATCGGAGATTGGAGGTCGTGAGATACAACAATGGACCTATGCTTTCGTGCAGTGGGATAGGGATTGCCTGATAAGATTAACACTCAAATGCTCAATTTAGTATGTGAATACTATAAGTGAATGCAGTTTGAATTTTTATTGTACTTGAAAATGGCGCGCCTCCTCTTTTTATAGAGGAACGATTATAATTATCCACATATAATCAGATGTAAGATGCGAGGAGTCATTGGATGAGTTTTAGATTCAAATTGTCTGCAGACTACCATATGACAACACTTCTACCCTGCAAGTGAGTTGATTGATTTTTTCATTATCTAGGCCGCAGTTGTTGGACCTTATGACCGACCAAGAACAAATTCTAATGCAGTAGCCTAAATCATCAAACATGCATATGGATAATAAATTTCACTTAAGTTTGAAAATATACATCACATTGTATATACATAATTTTCATTATTTGAGATACACAATTTTATTTACAAAATGTCAAAATTTCTCTTTTTCTCACACTGTCACTATAAATAAAATACCTATTTTATTTTAATTAACAATTATCTTTATTTAAGACACAAAATTCTTATTTTTAAATGTTAAAATTTTTTTTCACGGGTCACTATCAACAAAATAATTTTTTTATTTTAATTAACAATTGCCTTTATTTGAGACACAAAGTTTTATTTTCAAATGTCAAAATTTCTCTTTTTCTCAAGGGCGCAAAATACCTATTTTATTTTAATTAACAACTTTATTTGAGACGCAAAATACATTATTGCTTAATAAAAATTTATTATTTAATTATATCATATAATTTATTTAAAAATAATAATATAACTTATTATTTAATATGATTGTGATGAATTGAAAGTTTAAAATTAAATGCATATCTTTATTTAATATTTTTAGAAAAAAACCTTTACTAAAATTGAAAAGTAAACTTTGTAAAAAGAAAAAGAAAACCCATGATTTTTTCTTTTTATATACCAAGTAGAAAAACATCAGAGACAATTAGGTATAGACATAGCAATACTGCCTGTCTGCCTCCATCTCCTCGTTGTCCCTTCTCTCCTGACCTTTCAGCTCCGATTCGGATGGCAGCCCTAACCCGCTTCGTAAAGCGCACAACACCCTTATATTCCTTAGCGCGTGGTTTCTCTTCCACAAATCCCCACGCGCCTCCGCGTGAAAACAGGAATATTCAATGGGTTTTCTTGGGCTGTCCCGGCGTCGGTAAAGGCACCTACGCCAGCCGCCTCTGTAACCTCCTCGGCGTCCCTCATATCGCCACCGGTGATCTTGTTCGTCACGAGCTTTCCTCCAAGGGCCCCCTTTCTTCAAAGGTTCGCTTTTTTTATGCTTTTTAGACTATAGATATACATGGATTCATGTGGTTTCACTTGTTACTTATCAGTAGTGTTGGGTTTAATTATCTGATTTGAGATTTGTGGTTCAACTGGTTTGATAATCCCCTCTTATTGCTTGGAATGGATCTGAGTTTTTTTTTTTTTGCATTTCAAATTGTTATTAATGAATATACCTGGTGAATGTGAATTGAAGGTAACATGGTTTTTGGAATTGGAAGCAATTATAAGTGGATAGTATATTTATATATAAATGCTTGTCTTTGCTGTCTGATTTTCAATTTTTTTGTTATCTCATTTGCAGCTATCAGAAATAGTAAATCAGGGTCAATTAGTGTCGGACGAAATCATTATAAACTTGTTGTCAAAGAGACTGGCCGATGGACAAGCTAAAGGCGAATCAGGTTTCATTCTTGACGGTTTTCCTCGAACAATAAACCAAGCAGTGAGTATCTTTGTATTGTGGTTACATTAAAAATAATTTTTTTCCAATGAAAAATAACGCAAGGAAAGTTTCCAAGTTATTTTAAATATGATTAAAATTCGTATTACCTTTTCATTTGCTCAGGAAATATTGGAAGGGGTGACTGACATTGACTTGGTGGTCAATCTGAAGATCCGAGAAGAAGTACTGCTTGCAAAATGCCTTGGTAGGAGAACTTGCAGTCAGTGTGGAGGAAATTTTAACGTGGCTTCCATTAATATCAAGGGTGAGAATGGTCGCCCTGGAATGAGTATGGCTCCACTTCTTCCTCCTGAGCATTGCATGTCTAAGCTCATTACTCGTTCTGATGATACTGAACCAATAGTCAAAGAAAGGCTCCGTGTATACAATGAATTGGTATTTTTCCCTCTTCTTATTATTGTTACTACTATTCAAGGGATCTTAATAAGGAATTTTATTTACTTAACTTGAAGTTGTATATATGTCATCTTAATTATGGGGCATTGATAGTTCTACTTCTGAGTGAACTTGATAAAATGTTTGTTTAATTTTCTATTTCTTGCAACCTTCATCTTGGTTTATGATATGATCTCCATCTTGATTGCAGAGTCAACCTGTGGAGGGGTTTTACCATGGCAAAGGCAAACTGTTAGAGTTTGAGCTGCCCGGAGGGATCCCGGAATCTTGGCCAAAGTTGCTGCAAGCTCTTAATCTAGATGATTATGAAGAGAAGCAGTCTGTTGCAGCATAAGATATAAAAACGTACTATATAACTAAGTATTTCATTCTTTGCATGCGGATTCTGCATGCTATGCAATTTTGCAGGAAATAGAACCAATGAAGGTTGGCTTCTTCTTGGATTTGTATTATTTGAATAAATAATGATATCAGGAAGTGTCATAGTCTGATTACACTTATACCCTATTTGTATTTTCATATTTTGATTTCAGTTATATATTACAATGTTTTTTAATGCTGTCAGAAGAAAAATTTCTGGCATAGTTGTTGCATAGATGTTTACTGGTTAGCAATAAGTTTCAACAGGAGTGGCACATGATTTCTGTGTCTAGTGTTTTAACTTGTAATTGAAATCTATTGAACTAATTTATAAATTATTGCTCCAATTATTGTTGATGTCTTCTGCTGACTAAGCTTGCTTATTACACAATACTCACAAACGAGTACTATTCTTTGGCTATACTTTGTTTTGAATGCCATATTTTGTAGGTTTGATGTGAGTGCAAATTTCAGCAATTCTCTCTTTTTTTGTGCAGTTAGTTGATGCCATGTTAATTGATAAATAAGTTTAGAAAATATTCAATGATCCTCCTCCTCGCATATGTGGTGTGTGACTGGGGAGTTTTATTTGCATTGCAGCTGGCCGAGCTGGCTGGCTTTAGTATTTGCCAGCCGGGAAGTTAAAACTGCTGCTAAAGTAAGACATGGCTCAATACCAGCTCTTGACTGCATGAGTTTTCTTGGTGCAAGATAGATTGTGCCGTACATTTTACTATATTGTTACTTTAGTCATTCTCGTGTTCCTTCAGTTTTTTTGGAGTTTGTTATTTCATTACGATGCAGCTGGCCGAGCTGGCTGGCTTTAGTATTTGCCAGCCGGGAAGTTAAAACTGCTGCTAAAATAAGACATGGCTCAATACCAGCTCTTGACTGCATAAGTTTTCTTGGTGCAAGATAGATTGTGCCATACATTTATACTGTTCTCTTTTAGTCACCCTTGTGTTCCTTTGAGTCCCTTTCTGTTCTGCTTGGCTTTCATACCTTAATCAGCTGTAGTAGCCCTGGATGTCCCTAAGAGGATTAAGTTGTCCAAGTTAGGCACTTGTTGGCCTTGTTAAATTTGTAGTCTGTTGCAATTTATTCAGGATTGAGAAGTGGCTAGTAAAATAGTATGATTAGTTTTACTTGTCTATTGCATGGGCATATATTCCTATGTTAAATTGTTGCATTTGTTTTTGATAGGCCATAGTCAGGTCTTGCAAAATCTAGTTTGGTCCCCTGTCTATTTTCATCTTTAAAACTGGTTAAATAACGATGTTCAGTTAAAAAAAATTGACTCAATTGAGCTCTCTAAAACTGATTATAAATAATGATGTCTAATTGAAAAAGATTGACTCAATTGACCTGGCTTGAAAACTCATATTGTTGACATTGCTATCAAAGCACGGGCATCTCACATAAACGTTGGCACATCGAAACCAACAATGTATCAAATATAGAATACACATTTTTTTATTAAAACTAGACATTATGGTTTTCAAGTTTGAATCTTTTGTTCTTTTTGCCTTTTGTTTAACTATCTCAACCTTTTCTAATAAATTGTTGATTGACCCACAAAGGAAAATTATAGTATAGAAGAAAAAAGATTAGATGAATGACTGAGAGATTAGTACTGAACATAGTAAGATTAGTATTAAGTAAAGAGCACGGGAAAATGAAAAGAGAAAATCTAAATCCATATTTTCACCTCATTCATTCACGAGTTTTGTTAACAAGTTTTATAAGAGAATCAATGTATTAAACAATGCTTTTAATTTATGATAAATTTCTCATATAAATTTTCACTTTCATTCATCTACTACAAAAAAGGTAAAATAATGTAATTAAATATAATGTCTTTCTTATTCACCATCTTTGGTTCACACATCATTACAAATTCAATAAAAATGAATGTTTTGAATCATCCAAACCTAAAAATTAATTTTTAGGTACAGTGTCTACGAGTCTGTTGCGTCGCAGCTTACTTTTTTTTATAAGGTGAGTTAATATTTAAACTCACGCCTTACACAATGTTTGTTCCGTCCAGTTCTATTTTTTTGTTGGGTTTTGAAACATGTTTTTTTTTTGTATTTTATTTACTTTCATAACATTTTTTCCAAGGTAGCATTAATACCGCTGAAAATAACCATCTCCATGATAGGCAGAGTGATAGTGAAGTTCAACAGATGGTCAAGGCTATACAAATATTGACTGTTAGTTGTCCGTACAGTTGTGGAGGTTGGAACAACCAATCCTTAACATTCACAAATCCCAATAACAAACAAACAACGCTTCATCCATTTTTTCATTTTCACTCTAATCACCACCATGTGTCCCAACTTGTTTACTCACTTTTAGAATCAAACTACTTCCATTCTCACTAATTCTCTTTCTGGTTTGTATATACACACATAAAATAACTACATAGTACTTATTATTTATGTATTCATGAACCTTATGACAAGTCACATAAGCCAAGGTTACAGCTTCTTCTTGGTTTTCCGCAGGTTAGTTTCTTCATCTTTTTCTTCTCCATTGTTATCTTATTTATTGATAATCACTTTTGTTGTTTTTGTTATTAGCCTTTCAGGAAAATGGTTTTGCTTATTTTGGAACAGACACCATTTGTTGTTTTGTGAGATGATAAGAAAAAGGATTAATCTAAATTTGTTTATAGCCATAGCTAGGACTACACTAGGATTTTCAGTTTATTGAAACTTTGAGCTGTTGAAACTTTTAAAGTAATTATAGCAACATTATAGCAACATCTAAATTGAGAACATTATGATAGGAGCCACTATTATTAAACCTTTGTCAGTAATTTACAACTTTTGTTCATGTTATTTAATTACACCTACCTAACTACCAAGTGATCTTTAACTTGGTTCAGTTGAAGGTGAAAATCTTGCAAGAGATAGATAGCATTTGATGATGGATATTGAAGAAGCAGAAAGAGTAGTTGTTGCTAAACCAGTTGCTTCGAGGCCAAATTGTTCGACTTTCAAATCTTTCTCAGAGCTTCTAGCAGGTGCTATCAATGCCACTCCTCCAATTGCTGCTTCTTCTCAAACAACAACTTCTGCAATTAGACCAAAGACAGTCAGGTTCAAGCCACCATTGATTCTCCCCCCTTCTCAGGTGAGAGAGCATTCAGCGATACAATAGACCATTCGTCAGTGTTTCAAAAACCGAATGGTCTAGTTCGGTTTTTAAGTGCTTCTTGCTTTCTAACCTTTCTTGTGTTTTTACAATTACAGACTGACATATTTAGAGGTGAACTTAGCAATTCTTCTGACATGGATCCTAAACCTGACACCAATCAGTCTCTCATATACAAGCCAATGGCAAAATTCGTGTCACAGACAACTGTCTCGCTCTTGGCAAACATGGTCAGTATTTATAGATTCTACACACACATAATACATTTTTTTCTCTTACGCATATGAGTCTTAGATGTTTAGGATTTAAGGTTTAGGTTGAAGTTCATAATAAAGCATAAACAAAACTCTAATATGTTACCAAAATCTATCTTACATTTGTTGGAGCCATCTTTCTAGTACTACATGTTAAGAGTTCCATATTAAACAATATATGGTATGAACTTGTTTTTATAAGCGGGGGTAATTCTCACCCGACAAGTCGGTTTTGTCTGATTGAATTAGGCTCAACCACATTTCTTAACACTGCACTTTACACTCCGTTTATTGTGTTATGAACTTGAGCACTATATTTTTTCTACTTACCTCTTTTTCTCTTCTTTTGGAGTAGGGAATTTGTAGTACTAGTAAGTTACAACCACAGCAATCGATGGAGGCCAATCTTCAGAATCTAAACCATGACAAATTTAGATCTAACAAAACCTCAAATTTTCATCAGAACATTACTACCCTACCTACAGAAACACACCAGGCCACTGAACCTTGTAAGACGGCGCAACAGATCATGGAGGAGGACCAAAAAGCTCTAACATCATCCACAGTGAATGCTGATAGACCTTCATATGATGGATATAACTGGAGAAAATACGGACAGAAGCAAGTAAAAGGAAGCGAGTATCCTCGAAGTTATTACAAGTGCACACATCCTAATTGCCCAGTTAAGAAGAAAGTTGAAAGATCATTTGATGGCGAGATTGCTGAAATTGTTTACAAAGGCGAACACAACCATGGAAAACCACAACTTCTAAAGCGCAACGCGGGAGCGACACAAGGATCAGGAATGGTTTCTGATGGAATGGTTCAAGATATATTATTAAGTAATAATAATAATAACCAGAATGAAGGAAGAATAGAGAATCATGTCAAAGCTTCACAGCCTAATGATTCTACTCTTGAAAATTCTTGTGCTTTAAGTGGGGATTGTGAGGAAGGAAGCAAAGGATTCGAGGCAGACGAATATGATCCTAGAAGTAAAAGAAGGTGAAAATAGTTTTAACACGTTTGCAACTTCATGTAATGTAGATATGTTATTGGTAACATAATATTTTCTGTACTAACTCAACTAAGTTTGTGCAGGAAAAATGAGAATCAATCAAACGAAGCGGCACCATCAGAAGAAGGTTTAGTAGAGCCACGGATTGTGATGCAAAATTCTGCGGATTCTGAAATCCTTGGAGATGGCTTTCGCTGGAGGAAATATGGACAGAAGGTGGTGAAGGGAAATCCATATCCCAGGTTCATACTTTTCTTCTTCAAAGTAACTATAATATGAGTTGCTTCAAGATTACTTGTAAAGGAAGGTTCCTTGGAGATTACTCTTTCTGACAGTATTAATTTTTTGAATCTTGCAGAAGTTACTATAGATGTACTCATATAAAGTGCAACGTTCGCAAGCACGTGGAGAGAGCAATTGATGATCCAAAATCATTTGTGACTACATATGAAGGAAAGCACAACCATGAGATACCACTCAAGAACACAACAACTGTGGCATCATCTGAAAAGGATTCTCTTACTAAAGATAAACCATATTGAC